ACACACAGTGAGTTCATCTGTGTGAGAAGTCTCATGTTTTCTGCATTCATTCCAACTATCAGTAATAAGGAATATCTGACTAACCATGCCAGATGAAAGACCGATTTATCTTTCTATTCTCTATATAATATTCTAAGATAATCAATGAAAATGGAGTGAAGTATGGAGGTGTGTCAGACAGTTAATGAAAATGTGTTTCTTTTTTGGCTTCTGTGATATTTGGTATTTGTCAGCCTTTTAAAAAATCATTTTTTTGTTCAAATATGTGTTCACTTTTTAAACAAATTTCACATTCAGAGTTCTGTATTCCTTTTCGTAAAGAAGGTCTTCTATATCATATAAGCTTCAGACCTCACAGGACCTGAATCCCTCCGGGAGTCAGAGTACTTGCAGTGATGGAGACTGGGGGTGAGGAAGCCCTGGGGAGAGTGCACCGAGGGGTGGGGAAGGAGAACGAGAATGGAAACCTAAATTTGGAAAACTAAGGAGCAGGCAGTGGAAGAGGAGTCCTCGAAGCAGATGGAAAAGGAGCAGCTAGTGGGAAAAGGTGTCATAGAGACCACGTGAGTCGAGTTTTCAGAAAGAAGTGGTTAGTAGTTTTCAGTTCCACAGAAGGGCCATCATGAGTGGGCTGAGAGCTGGTCACTAGATTTATCTCAAACAGTCATGCAATTTTGGTGAAAAGTGAGTGCTAATGACAAGTACAAGCTGTCATTGTACTAAGTCATGAATTTAAGATGAGCAAGTGAAGACAAAGTGCAGACACCATTTTCATGATGCTTGGTGGTGAGGAGTATGAATCATGGTACAGCTAGACCAGGGGTTAATAATGAGAGACGGCTGTTTCATTGGAGAGTAGGGGACTCAGGCGTCTGTACTACTCACGCAGCAGAAGGACAAGCATGTGCTTCCTTTACATCCTTCTAAGCCACAGGACACGGGCAGTTCGACAGCTTCACTTGTGAAATGGAATTCCTTTAACATAAACCTGAGTCATGGTCTTTGAGTCAGTCATTTACTCTTCTGCAAGATTTCCTATGCGTTTTAGCATGATTCTACCATTTTTCCAAGGCCCAAATCTTGACAATCCACCTTCCTTCCATTTGTTAAGCCAATCACAGGTGACCTGCGCTGTTTCTTTCCCAGACCTCTCTTGACTGTGCTCACCCACGTGCTCCCTGCTCTCATCTCTGGTAAATAAATGGCCACTGTGTTTTTCACTTGTTAGTGCACAGCCTGTCTTTTCTAAGTCTCAGCTAACCCCTTTCAATTAGTCTATGTCTTTACATTTGCATATTTTATGTACAGTGATATTAATCATCAACATTCATCCTCTGTATACGTTAGCCTGCAGTTAACGTTCATGGCCTAGTTCTTTTAATCGTGTATTATACGCAAAGGAAAAAGCTTTCTCTTCTCTGTGAAAATACTTTAAGCTGCTGTCCAGATTCTGCTGTCTTTCCAGTTAGACTTTTAAAAAATCTTTTGCGTTTTTCATATTAATTACCTCAGAATAAATTCAATGAAAAATTCTTAAAACTCAACTGATCAGACAGTGGTTATCAAACTCTTATACTGTTATAGTCTTTCAACATTGACTTAAGAAATGCTCATTTATGTTTCAGGGCTAATGACTACATTTCAATTTTAATTGCAGAATGAGAAACTGAATGTATTTTGCTTCTATTTATCCTCTTTCTTCAAAGCTATTGATTTAGAAAAATAGGTCTAATTTGATTAACACTTGCTTGCATTTTGTTTTTTCTGAGGCTTTATTCTTGTTTGAAATGAACGTGTCATGAAACACAATTTATATGGGCTTAAAAATAACCACTTGAAATAAGTAGGTAATGCTTTCACAAGACAGAAACTTAAACAGAAACAGTTCCCTAAATGGATGTATGTATGTGTTCACATATATGTATAACCTTAGATTTCTCAAAGAAATTCTAAGTTTACTTCAAGCCACTATGTAACGATACTTTTTACTCTTCATTGGCTTCTGCCATTTAATATAAAAACTACATTTGAGAGAATGACTTTTATCTGGCTTAAAACACAGTGAAGGCTCATGGTTTGAAGTTTCCAATCAATCTTTAACTTTCTAGTGTTGGGGCTTATTTATTCATTTTAAAGCACTGCTTCTAACAAAAAAAGAAAATCCAATAATAGAATCTATAGAATTGTTAGACAATAAACAGTGCTTTAAAAGCAAATTTTTAGTAGCTCCATCATAAATTCAACATTTACATCCCCCTTGAAGTGCTCCTGGTTTTTAATAGTGGATTTTGGTATGATCCCATAAAAGATTCATGTTCAGACATTAAACAACACTGCTTTGAATGGTTAATTTTAAAATCTATTTTTGTCTACTACATAATAGGAATCTCCCCTATCTTTCTTGTTTATAAGAAGTGAGGAAAACTGGTCGTGTGATTTTGATTCATGATTATGTCTTTGTGGTAAACATGACGTATTTGGAAAGCAGAACAAAAACAATAATTCAAAGGCGTTATTGACAAAAATATTTACTTCATGAAGACCTAAAGTGATACTCTAAAAATAAGACATTTTAATTAAAATCTATGTGAAACAAATGTAAAAATATGTAATATACCTCCTTTAGGACATTTAATTTTTTTCTTCTTAATTTTTAAAAAGAGCCAGATATTTATTGTATTTTATATCTAAGCCATCATCAGTCACAAAATTAATTACCCAAACATTACAACTTATTTTCCCTAATGCACAAAAAGAACAAAAGTATTAGAATAAAGAAACTACACCATATTTGTAAAAAAAATTAATTGCTTCAGAATTCTTATCTATAAAAAATGTAAGTTGATGAAAAGATACTTTATGTGAGATATCCAGAAATAAACAATCACCCAAGAAAAAGATGTGAACTTAACAAGACAGTTTTCTTTTTTCAGAAATATTCATAGATGACTTTTATCTGAATATAACACAAGGCATAAATATTCAATATTCAAGGCTAAACAATAACCCTATTAAACTTCATTTTTTTTCCTCTACTAGACATCCAGTTCTGTTTTTGGATCTTAAATGAAATAAAGAGGAAAAAAATGATGTGGTTTCTTAAAGAAATTAGGTTATTTAAAAAATCTGATTTTCCCACATTCTGTATTATACTTTTGAAACACACCAGTATCTGTTCATTATTAAGATTAATTATGCATATGTATTTTATATTCAAATGCACACTATAAATAATATTTTTAATAAAACATAAAATTCCTCTGAAATGGTGTAGCCAAAGTAAATAGTTATTCCTTAATACTCATTCCCACCCCTTCCCCATGAAAATGAAATGGCAACTCTGATAGAATAGGAGGGACCCAGAGTGAGTGACTCTATTCATCTACTAACTGACTACTGCTGCGACATCATCCCACCAGTTTCACATCGTTGTGAAAAGAGTTCACTTTAAACTAATTGGCGTCACCGTGAAGTAAATTACATGACTGTGTCGCTGGGCAGCAGATCAGGCCCATGCTAGGTATAGCTGGGGTGACACTCTTCTGTAGGGATAGTGTGGGTGAAGGCTGGAGAGGGAAGTTTTGCATAAGAAATAAATGTGCGAAAGCTACTGACACTGAGGCTCAATTGTCTGTTTTTGTTTTTAAAGAGACTTCTTTTCTTTTTTTTTTTTGGACTGGATCTTTTTAGTTTTCTGACAACGACTCATATTGGTTACTTATGTTAGAACATGGTCTATATGATTGGGAAGATTAGCTGATCAGCTTCCATTTAAACAACGAGAAGGTCCATTTAATCTAAACCTCAAGTCTAGGATAATGGATTTGAAGTTTCCTTGAAATTCCAGAAAATAAATCCAGATTGCCCTCCAAAGTTATGGGCCAGAAAACTACTATTGTTTAAAAGCCAAGATGGTACCAAGCTTATTGGAAATGATATTGGAAAGGAAATAGAAAAACAAATTTCTTTGCTTTTATTCTGTCAACGTCTCCTCTAATCAGGAATATTATGGATAGACATAGTTACTACATCACACAAAATTAGAAAAAAATCTAGGAAAAGGTAAAGCAACGATGGTGAATAGAATGAATTCTGAATATACACAGACTAAAACAAAAGTTTGGGAAAATAAAGTTTGACACTAGCTTATGCTTTTAATGCCCTAAAGGTTTTAGATTTTTGTAATATAGTGTTTAAAAAAATCTGATTATATTTTGAGGCTGAAATAGATCCTTCTGATGCAAGTATAAGAAACTATTTTCATAAACTTTTAGGAATCAGTACTCATTACTGATAAATTACCACTATTTGATATTTAAATGAATTCAAAAGAATTTTAGATTAACTGATGGATTGTGACTCCATGTTGGATTGTTAAAGAAGCTCAAATTCTTTTTGGAATATATATTCCAAATATATATTCCAGAATATATATTCTATTTGGAATATATATATCGTTTAATTTCTTTGGGTCTTATCAAATTCAGGTCAAGTATAAATTGCTTTAAAATATATTTTGTAGGAAGTGTCAGAAAGTGGAAAACACTATGCTCGGAAAAACCCTCCTTATAATTTGAAGATCATATCTATGTCACTATCTTGTCATTTTGTTAGTGCTTAGTTTAGTTTTTAATATAAGCATAATCACATCTTAAAGCTGATGTAAATATTTTTAGAAAGTGGCATTACACAATTATTAAATATTTAAGTATGTTACCAGGAACGTTAATGTTGTTATTCATTTTTTCACAAGTCAATTTTTATTTAAAAATCCCATCTACAAAATCACTTATCAGTGATAACTGATGAAATAAAGTAACATATGGAGTGAAAGAGATAGAGAACAGCATCTGAAAGATGCACGTCTGATATTTTCCTGAAATTCCTTAACACCAAGTGGTCCAAAAACCTGAAATTATTTTTATTCCAAAAACTTGCAATTGTTTTCTTTTCTGTTCTGTTAAGTCAGGAAATCCATCATTATAGTTTGGGAAGGGGACTGAGTTGAGGAGATGAGGGAAGTTTTGCTATTGAGGGTCTTTGGTAGGGATCTATTAGGGGCCATTCAACATCCAATGTTTTTAACAGATCATTTAGACACCTACTGTATTTTTCACGCACTGGCAATCGTCTGCTTCTAGGTGATGAAAGTTTGATTTGCGACTCCTCTGTGTCCTTGGAGAAGAGGCAGTCGTGGAACATGAGGTCTTAGTCTACACTAACAAGAAGGAGTTTGCAAACTGACTGTGAAAGGACAATTCCAACATTCGATGAAAGGAACAGCGCCTGGGTATTTGAGGACACGTAGAACATTAGACTCCCAGGCTGCGGCGCAGTTTTAATTGGGAAGGCGATGACTCTGCTGTTGTGGGAACAAGCAGCTGGCTGTGGCACCGTGGGAAGACCATGTTCCTGCCAGCTCTGCCACTTACCAGTGTGTGACCTTAGGTACTAACCGAGATTTTTTTTTTGTCTTTTCATGTCTAAAAGGAAAGATGTGGTTTTCATTTCTAAAGTCCCCTTTGTCTTTCAAAGTCTTTTTCATCTGTAGGAATAATTTTTAAATTTCCTATTTAAATAGGGACTACATTAAGGCTGGAATCTTCAGAAGAAATGTTCAAAAGGAAATAACTCTTTTCTATTAAGTGCACCTTAAGATGCACTGAATACTTCACGACCAGTTCGTATGGTCTTCCTTTAAAGAATTTGCAAGTGTACAGGGACAGTTCCATTTGCATGTGTTTAAGTGTTTATTTTTCCAGACAAAAAGGAGGCAAAATTTTGTCTATCAAATAGGTAGTCTATGGAAACAAAATAAATTATGCTATTTTTCCTCCATTTTTAATGTTTAAATAACCTGCAAAATAGAGATATCAACAAAGTTAAACAAATCTCAGAAAATGAAATGGAAGCATGAAAGATCTATTGACTCTTTACAGTTTCTCATATCGACATGAAGTTATTCTTACTGATCGTGGGACATTTACATGTAAAAAGAAGCAATTTTAGGAACAGCTAAAAATAAGTGCATTTTAAAATTTCTTTGAGTTCTATAAACAAGTCCCTAGGCTGAAGGATGAGTGGATACTCAGCTCCACACACTTGAGGAGGCGATGTTGCAGCAGTTTTTCATTTCATGGGACAGTTACTGCTGTGCAGTTCACCGTGTAAGGACTTAGCCATACTCCTTGCTTCTCCTCTTTCCTTTGTATTTTTATTGCTCTAAGAAAATCAATCATCTCCACCCTCAGGGCCTTTTCCATACATGCCTATGTGATGCCATTGAATTAAACCAATTGATATATTTTGACAGTTTGATCAATTATATATATATTTGCCATTTTTCTTTTTCATTAACCTGAAGGCCATAGTAGTTTTGATAACCACCACATTGTTATGTAGCAGATCCTGGTTGAAAAGAAGTAGTTGAATATGCTAAATGAAGGGTTATGTTTTGGTTCAGAATTTCTCTTTTTACAGAAGTGAGGTATTGAATAACACAAGTGGTATTTAAAATCATGTATATGATGCTAAACAGACTCCCACTCAGCAACATGAAGATATATAGTTTCTTGAATTTGTAATGTCATAGGAGTATTCACTTATGGTTTAAGAGTGTATTATATTTCCATAAACTTCCTTTGTGTTCTCCCAGTAGGAGATTTTTAAGTACCTGGTAAAATAAATGCATTCCAAACAAATAACTTAGACATTCAGACTTCATATATAAAATATTATTTGCCTATTGGAGTAAGACATGTTCTCTAAATCCTAAAAAAAACTTATGTTGTGGTTGAATATTTAAAACATTCTAGCCTTGAAGTATAGTCATGAAGAGTTAATCTATGCTAACACTTGTTTTCCCCCAATTATAACGCGATTGTCATTTACCTTCTTTACAGGAAAGGGAGCCATTTTTTATGATTGCCAACCTGTTTGCTATTTACCAGTTGCTTATAAATTTCTGACTTTAGAAATCGAGGGAAAGAATCCTTGGCCATGAGACTGTAGATTAACTTCTGAGCCTCATCAAAGCATCTGAGAGTTGGTTCTGAAATGTTCTTTGAGATGAGGTCCCTGGTACTGAAGTCAATGTTAATCTGTGGAAATAAATTGCACAGCATTAGTTTAGTTTAATCAAAGAGTGCGTGTTTTGTACCGATGACAGATACACAAATGATTTGAATTTTTTTCTAAACACAAAGTTAATCCGATGCAAAGCAACAGAAAGTCAGTGTTCATTTTCTGAAATGCAGAACACGTGCTTGGTTTAATTACTTTTCCTAGGTCGAGAATGTTGGCATTGATAGAGAAGAGAGGTCAGACCTTATTTTCAGATTATGAAAAATGGCAAAGTGAAAAGGCAAACAAGATATTTTATGATTGTAAATCTCTTTTCCCACCCATCCTTTATTTCTTTCTAGTACTTTGACCTTAGTATCTAATATGTGATTTCCACAGACAGGATAGTAATTAGAATTGACTAGGTTGCTTCCATCACCCATCCCCATCCTCCGTACCTCCTCGTGTTGTTTCCCAGAATGTTGCTTTTCATTCTAATTTGTTCTTCTTGTTTGCCAAAATGTACCAAATAACAGCGCCCCCCCCAGTTCACAGACCCCCATGCCTCCCACATAATATACATATATGTGTGTGTGCATACATCCTTGTCCCCATAACACTCCCACACAGAGTGTTCTCAGCAAGGTCTCATAGAGATCTGTTATGCTGGAACACACCATTCACCTGCAAATGCCCCAAACTTTGTGGAGATATTTCTTCAGTTTCTCCCCCAATTCCAGGCTATATTCTGAGGAGCAGAAAATTTCATATCCAAGTTGTTTCACTTCAGCTGAAGATATTCATGAAGTGCAAAAGAGATCTGAATCTTAAAATTCAAATCTCACCAAAGGCAGGTGCTAGATTCGTCTTATCCATCAGTTTATTTTTTGGCACTTAGCAGACTATCTACCCCAAAGTAAGCCATCAATAAGTATTTGTTGAATAGAATTAAAATGTCTTTTGGCAAAATGGGGAAGACTTTAAAAATGCCAGAATTTGGGGGTCTGGTAAAAGACTGTAAGTGACCACTTATGCTTATTGAATTGAAGTTAAAATACAGGCAGGCAGACCTTCAATCAAATCTCTCCTCAGCCGCCTACTTGCTATTCAGATGAGTAAAGCAAGTTTTGTAGTTTCCTTCAATCTTCAATTTCCGTGGTCTAAAAGGGAATGGTAAAAGCATCTATCTTAAAGTGCCCTAAAGACTAAATGAGATAAGTCACGTCAAACTATTTCAGTATTATTATTCTAGGAAGAAGAACAGAAGAAAAAATTCATTTTGAAAAGAATCATCAAAGGCCACTATTTGCTCACTGATGTTTTCTTTCTTTAGGGATTTCAGCTCCTCAGGGATCCCAGGATACACCTGCCCTTTTGTTTTTCTGATCATCCTCTCCGTCCTCCAGCAAAGTTCCAGATCAAATACTGCAACTTCCTTGAAGGCCTCAAAATCTGGGATCAGTTTCTGCTTCTTTGTACAGGAAGATGGTGTGGAGTAGTGGGAACATTTTAGGATACTTTTCAAGTCTGCGCTCTAAAACTTCTGAGCTTGTGACCAGAGGTGAGTTACTTTCATGTTTCCAAGCTCAGCTTCTTTCGTCTCTAAGCTAGGCAGTTCTCGACTGAGTTGTTAAAAGAATTAAAGTGAGATGACCAGTACGTTCACTGATTCCACAAATATTTAGGCGTCTGTTATGTGCCGGATGCTTTCTGTATCTGGGGAGAGACCACCCAGCACTAAATAAATAGTATTATTTTAAATGTGAACTTGAAGGATGAGAAGAAGCCAGTTCTCTGAGAATCCGAGGAAGAACATTTCTGGCAAAATACGGCAAAGGCGGAGTCCCTGACGCAGCAAAGAATCGGTTACGTTCTGCAGAACCCCTGTGCTTGGACGGTGTGAGCAAGAAAGTTCCTGTGGTCAGGCTGGAAGAGGAGACTCAGGCCGAGTCCTGTAGGCCTGTCTCCTGTGGCGAGGGCCTCTCGCTTTTCTACTGGAAGCAACGGGAAGACACTGGAGAGCTTTGAGCAGGGAAGCGGCATAACAACACATCGTGGACCTAGGACAGTGCCTCCCTCATGGCGGGGACCAGTGAGCGGCGGGTGTTGTCAAGATCTGGGAGTGGCTGGTAAGCGTGGAGTCCAGTCTGTTTTGTGAATCCTGCCTTGTGTTGTGGGGATATGAGGATATGGGAAAATGCGTTGCTTGCTCTCTTCTTTAACTTTGTGGTTCATGCTGTAATGGCCTCGTCTGCAATTTGCTTAACTTTATATTCCCCGTAATGATGAATATAGCAAGTTCACTCCCTCAGGCATTCATTCACTGATACCGGGGCCTCTGAGTGCTGGCTTCTATTACTATTCTGTTATTTCAGTCACAGCTGAACCTCTGCAGTAACTCCTCATTCCCTATTTAAAAAGCCCAAAGCCATCACCTTGGCATTCATGGCCTTTGCAATATGATCCAAACGTATACATGTCCTCTCCTCCCGTCAAGTTCCTTGTACTTTCTCAGCAATGGACATTTTCCCATGCTGTCCTCACTAAGCTGAAAGCCACTCCTGCTCAGCTAAGTCTTTCACAGTCTTTTGTGTCCTTAAGGCTACATTCAAATACCATCTGCGTTGTGAAGTTTACTTGCAGATTTTTTTTCCCTTGTCTGACTTCTCAAAAGACTTTGTGTTACTTCCACAATATTTACATTTCACCCGTCCCTCACCATGTTTTGTGCAGTGTCAAGGACTCAATAAATATATGTTGTATAAATAAAGTGAAAAAAGTTTCTACATTTGTTACAAGTCATGTTAAAATTTTAAACAGAACAATTCCATTTTAGTCTGATACTGATAATCAATATTATTTGTTCAATATATTGAGATTGTACTTCTGACTTATCCATCCCATTTTTTCCGATTTGCCTGTTTCCCTACCAAGGAGCTGCCAACATCAGCTTTTGATTGCTAAGTGATGAGCAGAGATACCGTTCCCAGGAGATGATCAGTAGTATTATGATGTGACTTGGCAGTTCAGTTTAATGTCAGTGACAAAATATCACACCCACATTATTTGTATAAATGTCATTATTTTTCTCCAAGTTGTTCAAGCTCAAAATGTAAGAATCATCTCTGACATCTCTTTTTCCCTCTGATCTCTCTGTCTCTCTGTCTCTGTCTCTCTCTCTATATATATATGCTTTCCTTATTCACCTTTTATTTTGTAGTTTCACATGCTCTTTTTCATTCTCACTCCTGTGTCTCCAGTTTAATCTCCCATAACCTATCACTTCCCCTAAACCATGGAATTTACCTCTTACCTGATGCCTCTTCTTACAATGTCTTTCCTTTCTAAACACTGTGGACACCGTTACTAGATCAGTTTCACCAAAACATCACTTTCATTGTTTGAATATTCAGCTGGCAATGCATTACTTACTATAACATAAAATTTAAACATCTTACCCCATCATTAGAGCTTCCTCACACCTGGACTTCCATGTGTTGTTTTGAAATCATCTCCTACGTATCTTCGGTGCTGTCCATAAAGCTGGCCTACTTTCTGTTCCCAAAATGAATCTTGCATTTAAAGCCCTGTTTATGCTGTTTCACCATCTGAAATCCCTCTTGCCTCCAAAATTTTATTCTGTGCAGATTATCCTCAATCCCTGATGATTTAGCTTAAATTGAATAGCCTCCAAGAAGCCTTCCCTGATCACAGAAGGAAAGTCACTATCATTTCCTTATCGTCATATATTATTTTGATTTAAAAATCTTAAGAAATTTGACTTCTTGCTTAAACAGGTTTGGATACAGTGGTTTCTGTTACTGTTAAGTATTCAGTCTGATCATCAGAGAAAGATTTGTCACTACCAAGGAAATTCAGTAGTTTGTGACAAGGAATTAGTCAATATGTCTTTTATCTGCTATCTTTTCCTTATTTCTTTCATGAATTCTTTTTTTTTTCCTACATGTCCCTCCAAACATGAGCAAAGCAGATAAGCATCATCTAATGTCTGTCCCAAGTCTTCTTCTCTCCCTGGATTTTTTTCCTTGTTGACTTTGTCTCTCCCATTTCAAAATATTTGAGCAATGGCATTAACTCAGAAATAATCATAAGGATACTTAAAGATGATTATTTTATAATAATAATAATAGCAATGATAGTAGATAATAATAACTAACGTTTACAACTGTTACTGCTAAGTTGTGCTAAGTCTCAGTCTTCATACAGCTACTTGGTGTCACGCAGACGACTATGAGAGTATTATTACCCCTTTTTTCTGGAAAAACAAAACAAAAACTCATCTGAAGAAGTAGTTGGTTTTTGGTAGTCATTTCTAGAATTTATTCATTTAAAGTATTTCATTGAATTGTGCTCAGGTTTGATGATATAAAGATGGTTAAGTTGAAAGTCAATCAAGAAGACAGATTTTGAGAAAATAATTCAAAGGGAAAAATATACCTTCTGAAAAAAAAAATACTTTCTGCAAGAAATGAGAGTTTAAGCTGATCCTCAAAGTATTATTATGAGTAGAGAAGGTGAAGAAAGGGACTTGTTCAGGGAGGGAAAACAGAAGGAAGCCCAGTGGGTTTTCAGGGAAACAAGGGCCACAGCCTGGAGAGGCATGAAGGTCCAATCACACAAACTTCTGTAGGTCTTGGTAAATGATTTTTACTTAACCTGAGAGCAAAAGGGGAATTTTAAGTAAGGGACTGATGTAAACACGTGTTTGAAAAAAACATATCACTGGCTGCTGTGTGGTATAATAACTAGGTGTGGATAAAGGGAAGAAAAATTAGGAAGTCATACCAGAAACTCAGGTGGTCAATGATGGTGGATCAGGCTGGGTCATGTCACAGAGAATGGGGGCAAATGCATAGATTTCAGAGATATTTAGAAAGTAGAATGGGTGGAGCTTATGATTGAATATTTATGGGCTAGGACAAGGAACAATACCTTTAAAAATGGTGTTTAGAAATATTCTGAAGAATGAGATGATAGCAAGTGTTGATGGACTGGATATAATGTATAAACAGAAGAAAAGAATCAAGGGTGAGTGTTGATTATTTAGCCAGAGAGAATAGAATAGTGGAGTGGCCAGGAACTCGGCTGCAAAGGCTCAGGGAGAAGAAAGTTCTGAGCAGAGAATCAGGACTCAGATTTGAGTTTAAGTTTGAGATGCCCTTTTAAAGCCATAAGACTGGAAGAGACCACCGAGCAGCAAATAGGTGAGGACCACCTCCCCTCAGGATGGTGTGTGCTGGGTCATGAGTAGAAACAGCACAGAGTAGTCACTAAGAGGAGGAAACCCAGTTCTGGAAGCCAACTGAACACAGTGTGTCAGTTAGGAGAGGTGATCATGTTGTGAAGTGCTCCTCAGGAGTCTGTCCTGGTGAGCTTTGAGAACTGTCTGCCCAAAGTGCCTTGTCTTGTCTTCTTGACTCCCCTGAACTTTCAGTGTCAAGAAAAAAGTGAAAATATCAGGCCTCATTATATATTTTGAGACACACATTCCTTTAATATAATCACTTTTGAGCACGTGTTTGCGAACTGCAGCCCCAACTTTGCACTCATCTCAAACTTGATTTTTGGTTGGGTTCTACTGGAAGATTCATCCATATCCATTCATTGCTACGTTTCTATCTCAAAAAGTACAGCAGAGGAGGTGATGATCTTGGAGTGGATTGAAGGCGGGGCCACTGTTAGGAGGTAACCCTCTACCGAGGCAGACCTTCCAGCTACATGGTCTCAAGGCTCTCTGAGCACTTGGGAATTACAAAGTTTGGCTCCGTATCTCAAACTTGTGGGTTCAGAGAATGGGCTCAGTGGTATATCAGTTGATGAAATAAACAGAGTTATATCTGTATTATTTACTGACACGAATAGCCACTTGCATTCTGTTTCTATGGATACACTCAAGTTTCAAAGGTGCTGAGAAATACATTTAATCTGCTTATTTTTCAAAAGGTCACGAATTATCTTAGATTTCTGAGACCACAGCACTGCCAGTCTCAGAAAACAAGACTCAGGATTGTGATTCTTACGGAATGACAGCTGAGATGTCATCACGACTGTTTAGCGGCTTTTAAACCCTGTCAGTTTTGAAAAGGCCTTGACACAGCTGACATTGACGACAATCCATTGCATTAATATGACTGCCTTCTGAATGATGTTCGTGGTAGCTGTTTAAAAACGGTTTTATTATAACGAGCCAGGGGTATTTTAATAATACTCAGGTGATTTTGATATGTTCAAGTTATGCATGCCAATTCTTTTCTACACCAGCAGTTTTAAATTCTTTTGGCTTCCAACAAATTATTTTAGCAGGAAGAATACATTTTTAACTGTACCTTTTGGCTTTCCTGTGACCCTAAACAGTGCTTTATGTATTTTTACATAATTTGAATGAAAAGTTTTCAGTTGAGCTCTCACATTCAAATTAGGTGGCCTTTTCCTCATTTAGAATGTATAGCGAAGCTGGAAACTGTCATTATGCAAGAAGTGTGCGCATGCATATGTAAAACGCCTTCCTCAAATGGGGCAGGCAGCTTCCTAGACCTCATTCACAACCAAGCTTAAAAATTACTATTCAAACGGAAGCTGCCTATAATCATGTTTTTGGTTACATGAGTCTATTTAATCACCACTAGCACCTCCAGTCTTACTGCGTTTTTGGCATCATTAAAGGTGGACGAACATCCTGAAATATATTCTCAAGGGTGGCTATTACAGTTGAAAAGAGCCAAGTTTGTAACATGGAGATGGAATTACCCTGCACAGGACAGGACTCTTTTGTTGGGATTGGTTTTAAAGGCAGAAATGAAGAACATGGAACTAACATGTTAAACTGGGCAAGAGAAAAGGAAAAAAAAATCAAATGTATGCCATCATAATGCATAAAAGCATAATGTACACGGATTGCTAAAAATAGATATAGGTAGCAAATGCTATGTGGGGCAGCTGAAAAGGAGTTAGACTCACAGTTTCCTTCACCCACCCCGATATGCTAATCCAAGATTAATTTCAGTGGCGCAGGGACCTGTGGAAATTCAAAAAACCCCTGGGCATTTTGTTCTCGAGTAGAAAACGCAGCCGTCGTTTTTTCAGAGGGCCACGGTGATACTGCAGGTTATTAGAGGAAATATTCCTGCCACTTTTTTTTTTTGCTTTATAGTTTAAAAAGTTATACAAATTAGAGAGAATATGAGAAAAGAAAGAAAGCTTTTGATAGAAATCTTTGTGAGAAGTTAATTGTATGCTTTCGCCTTTAGCATAAACATCAAGGTTCCCAGGCTGTGTCATGAACCTTGAAACTAGTCTTAGATCTAGAAAAAAGAATTTGAAATGTAAAAGCATGGATGGAAGACCTCTCTCCTTGTGATCTGTGTCTCTTAATGACTGCAGGGCTCATCATTTTTCCTCTAAGTCTCAGTTCATTTTTCACCTGTACAACGTGGATGAGCGTCATGCCTCCCTAGGAGCGAATGTGGTGATCAGATCAGGTCGTCCATGTGAGGGCACTGGGCAGTTGTTGCTTCTAGTTTCTTCAGCTCTGCTCCCTTGTCTTTCCCTCTCTTCTTCCTCCTCATCCTCTCCCTCACTCCTACCTTCTTTCTCTTTCTCTTCCTTTATAAGCGATCCCTTTAAGATGAAATAAACAAGAATGCAAACATCACAGGGGTGCAGGAGAGCGACACGCTGAGACTCACAGTGTTAGGCTAGTCCTGGACTAACCTTCTGGGCCCTGGCTGGTCCTCTGGTTGACTCATCTGTCGTCTTCCTCCCCTGTTGTCCTTCCCTCCTCCCGTTTTGTCTTAGTTCCTTCTATACTCAAATTTCTTTTTATTTTTTAATTTTTTTTAATTTTTAAAAAATTCTCAGGGGAGGTAATTAGGTTTATGTATTAATGGAGGCACTGGGGATTGAACCCAGCATGCTCAGCACACACTCTACCGCTGAGCTCTACCCTCCCCCCAAGCTCAAACTTCTGATCAAAGCTTACTGATTCTTCTGAGCTACATTTCCTGACGCCTTCAACTTGGATTTTCCTGTTGATGCTACCACATCACCTGTATTTCCTTCCCGATCACGACACTCATGAAAGTTTATTATAATTCTCTATTTCCTATGCTAGAATCTTCCCACCAAGGGGGTTAGCTTCATTTATTCAGAGACTCTGACTGTCTTTTTTTGTTAGCTGCACCAACATGGTGCTTGGTATATAATAGACACCTAACTATTGATCAGTGTGTAAAAACTTAGGAAATTAATAATCAGCAAACATTGTATCTGGAGGTGATTCTATCGCTGAGGGGACACGGTGGGCCAGCAGCAAGTTGTGGGGCAGGACTAAGACCGAAAATAACATCAGCACATTGGGGAAGTGGCACTGAAAAATGCAAAGAAAATACGGATATAAAGTGGAGAATACAAAATTGGCTTTATAGTAATATCAGGAAATGCCTGCAGATGCCCATGGGCTTCCCACTACTAATAATACGTCAATCTATTTCTTCCCTCAAGACTCAGCTTAAAACTAACCTTATTTAAAATACAGGCCTTCTCTCAATGTCCTGCCCCAATACTTTTCAATCATTATATCATTTTAGGTATAATGCAAACCATTTCATCTGCTATTTAAAAAATTTTTGCACTTAATCATTTATTGCTTTGCTGTTTTTTCTTAGTTCTATAAATTTCATTTTTTAACCTGAGAAGGAAAGTTTCTTTTGAGCCAAACCATAGTTTCAACCTATTGTATTTTCTTGCATTTTCTTATCAAGCTGCTGAGTTCACACAACATATTGCATTATCTGTATGTGTTTATTACCTGTTCTCTTGCTTAGACTGGGCTTCCCTTTCATGGGGGGAATTTATCTTGGGAAAGTGAATAGTAGGCACAGAATAAGCATTTGTTGAAGTGAAATCAAATATGAGTCAATAAATAATATTATACTGCATTAAAAATAAATGCAAAAAACCCAGACACAGATATTTAAACAGTGTCCTGCAAAGTCCCATTAAGATATCTTTTGCTTTCTGACAATAATTTCTTCTGTTTTATGAGTTATGATGTCCTCACATTGAATAAATACATTTAAGAATCAAATATTTTGTATTAACATTTTTTTTATTTAAAAAACTGCTATTGGATTTGTTCCTGGATTGGTCATAATATTAAGTTGAATTTATATAATTTTAAAATATTACACTGTATTATAACTTGGAATGATTTCTGATCTCACAGAATGACAATCAAGATAAATGTTTTCTCTTTAATCACATATTTTCCATCCTAACCAATTTTCTTTTTAATATAAGGGAGCAATGATGTAAATACAATATATATAAATGATAGAAATATAAATATTTAAAACAGTGTCTTAGCTGACTATGAAAATATTATTTTAATTTTTGGAAGATTTACATTCTTTTGAAACCAAGTAATAATATTATCTCCTCAAAATTTCCAAATATTATGAAACTAGTAGTCCAAATTAAAGGAAGAATAAATACAAGAATTGTTTTCTTTGCCACTCAGTGGTTCTTACTGTGTGCAAAGTAAGGACACTTTAAAATATATATTGCTTATCTAATAGTTTTCTTATTTTCAAATCACTTAGTCAAAATACCTGGTTCATAACTAATTTTTTTTTCTGCAGTATCTTCCTCTGAAAATGTCTAGGTACAATCCATTGAATGAGTAGCTCTTTCTGTCTGAAACTAGTGATTTGCTAACGTGTTTTTCTAATATCTGTTCACGTATATGTATTTGTCAAGTCTTTTAAAGTTGCTTGTCCTCAAATGTTCTTAGAAGTTAATGGTTGTTTTCAGGGTGATTTAGTGGTACTTACAGTGACTTGTGTAAAGAAAGAAAAGGATTAAACTTTTTAAAAACTGTTCAGCATGATGTAAACCCTAGACACATGGTCTTGTTTATCATTGTCATCTGTCCTTTGTGGTTGTTATATGATTTTTTACAGATGAGGAAACTGAGGCCCAGAGGGATGAAAGAGGTCACAGGATCTGAATCTGTTAACTCTAACCTTTAGGTTTTCCACTACGTCACACAAACTCTCTATTAGTGTAGAAACCAGAGAATGTAACACTGTAAAGTAGAGGGCATGAGGTCCATTGGGGTTATTACCATCTCTCATAGAGACCTGGAAGTTCCAATGCTGTGGGCAGTTTTGCCTATTAGAATAGGAAACTGAGAACCATTAGTAATGTCAGTCTATCAACAGGGGTCATTTGGTAAATTTAGTATAGTCTAATTGTAAATTGTGTGATTGCATCAATTAAACATACTGTCATGTTAGCAATTTTATAGATAGGAAATAAAGACATAAAAAGTTGAAAAGAAAGTAAATGGAATTTAATAGACATCTGGATAACATGACTTTGTCATTGTACTCTATTTTGGGGTTTTCTGTCAAGGAAATTGGTTATAATTTTGCTCCTTTGTAAGAATCAGTTATACAGCTATGACTGAGTATAAAAAATGGAGAATACTCTCATGAAATCTCATTCTTGAATTAATTTTCTGCTTATGACAATCATATTTTCCAACCTCCATATGAAATATATCACCTTGTCTTGTTAAGTCTGCCTACCAGATAAATCCAGACCTCTTCCCAGCCTTTCTTTATCTCTCCTGCTGCCTATCCAGCCGTAACCGCCTCCTCCTCATCAGCAATATCAACATGCTTGTGATTTCTGGAGAACACTAGGGGGCTTTGTTCATCCCTACTACACCTGTGCCCTCAGTCTGAGATATTCTTTCTTCATTTGCTCTCTTGATAAATATTACTTATTTTTTCATGACATATCTTTTTCATGTGAACTACCCTGCAAAACCATCCCTTCAACTCTCCAGAAAGACTTAGCTCACTCTTTTCCACTGTGCTAATAACAACTTCAAATTATTAAATTAATATATTGCTTATTGTGTATTTGACTGGTTTTATCACATGTCAGTCTCTCCTTTTACTCTGACTTCATTGACTTCACTCAAAAAATTAATTTAATGAAGTAACATACTAAGAGTTGGATTATATTTAATATATAACTGAAGAATTATAGATACCTTGAAGACTGCAATTGGTAAATAAGAGACAAATGCCCATTAGTAATTTAAATTGGAAATAATTAATGGCAAATAATAGGAAAGATAATGACTATTTCAAATGTAGAAATACACTTTGCTTTCAATGAGAATTTTGTCATATCTAAAAATAACATTTTTAGATACTTCAAGGAGGCAATATAATCTACTATTTGAAAATCAGCCATAAATTTAATTATGTTTTATGTAGTAAAGATTAATTAGATGGACAAATTATTAAAAACTATGAAAGTTTTATATCCTAAAATAGTAATTGTATTGTTTAAAATTATTACCTCATAAAATTATTTTGGAAGGAAAGAGGAAAATAGGCAAACCTCTTTTGTCAATATTGATAATTTATTATATATCATAACTTTGAATTCAGCTATAATTAAGAGATTACCTTTCTTATTAGAAGATTTTTTCATACATAATGCTTGAGAAGGTTATCCTAAAATAATCATTATTAAGTAGATGGATTCATAAAGAAGAAAAAAAAATCTGGCTTTCAAACTAATACTACAGAAAATAGGATACTTTTAGAGCTGATTTCAAAGACTTTTAGGGAATGACACATTAATCAACGTGACAAATCTTATATACTACAGTTTCAGTTTTCCAGAATTATTTATTGATTCTTAGATAGTGACTGATAAATGAGTGTTGAAATAGGTCCACAGGAGTTAAGTCATTTTCTCTTTCCCCTTTTGAATTCCAGGCTAAGTTTCAGTGCTTCTTATGTCTACAATGTTGTGCTCTGCCAATACATACAGCAGTAATTAATGTTCATCTAAAACTTGTACTGTTGATACGGCAACTTTATGCCCTAGGTTTTCGGAAAGTGTTTGCCTTTCATCTATTCTGTCCTCTGTCTTCATAAGCACAGTAACTTCTCATACCATGAATTTTAATTTCGGATTAGAAAATACAGTTAACTGTCACTTAGGAGGATATCAGTGTTTCAACTCTGTAGGGAAAGATGACGTCTTGTACTAGTAGTTTATGTTTGGTGCCAGAAGTTTAATGTAGCTTCCCGTTTGCTGCTTATCATTAAAACTCTTTGCTTGTATGTTATGTTCAATGAGGAACCAAAACAGTTTTTAAATATAAATAGCTTAAACTTTGAAGTTAAGCATTTAAGGGATATGCAGAGATGATCGTGGTGTGGTTCTGGATATTAAGTCAAAAATAAATGGAATGTTACACACATTGAACACTTTTTGGGGGACTATTCTCAGTGTCATTTCAGGTTTTCTATTTTCCTGATCTTAAAGCAGCATAGGTGGGTCCTGACCACTGGAGACAATGCCTCACGTCTTTGGCTCATTTTCACCGTCGTAGGGTCAGGCCGCTCAAGACGGCTGTGCTCTTGCCCTCTGCACATCCCCTGCTGGACCAGTGCCTGCTTCACCTGCAGCGCTCACCTGCCTGGCCTTCCTACGCGCCAGCCCCAGGCCCCAGCTGGTGCTTGTTCTCATCAAACGGGCGTGAAGGGCGTGTCCCTCTGCGGGTTTCCCTGGTAACCAACGCGGCACCCTGACGTCACTTCCGATATAACCGCTAACCTCCCCCTGACCCCGGGGAGCCAAGCCTGGCACCGCGTCCTCCGCTGCGGTCCACCGCACGCTGGGGAGTCGCTGCAGGACCTCGCTGCCGACAGGGGGGCTCCCCGTCCACTAAACGACTGACGTCTCTGTCTCTGACTCGGGGCTCCTACCTGCGTCTCCAGGCTGGGCGGGCACAGGCCCTGTAGGCCTGCGGAGTGCCGCCCAGCAACCCACCAAGAGATGACGGTAGGCGAACCCCTCTTTTAGAAGCTGAGACATCATTATATGCTATTATGTGGGCCTCCAAAATATTAAATGTAAAGAATTTATACTGTGGTTAGTAGTTTTTTCCCTCACATAGATATTTTAATTTAAAAAATTTTACTCAAGAAAACTATTCCAAACTGACCTCCTGGTTTACAAAAGGAAAAATGAAAGTGAATTTTAAATCCAGCAGCACATTTAAGTGAGATTTCTGTAGGGTTAGCTGTAGAGCTGTTTAATTTGAGATGTTAGACACTGTTTTTAAGAGCCTGCCTGTTGTGCGCAGAAAACAGAAACGTTTAAGCACATAGAAGTGCTTAAAATATTTGCTGAATCAGTACCAGAGGGTCATCTTAAGGAACTTCTGTTGGTATTTACAGACATTTTCTGTTTGAGAACCTAGTGACAATTTAATTTCCCTTGAGATGGACTTAGCGTCTTTCACCAGGGAGCAGATTTGTTAATGGATGAAGATTCACTGTCGTGGAATATTTCACTCACCTCTTTCGGGGCATCAGCTTCAATGAATTCAGAATAAATCATCCTGGCTTTGGAAGCAATTTTTTCTGTACATTCCGTTTTCTTAAAGTCTTCACAGGCAAGCCAGAACTCAACATTTTCTTCACTAAACTCTGATTTTAGGAATGTTCGAAAAGCATCTAGACCGGCTATAAAATATGTGAGAAAAACTTGTATATCACACAGTGCAGTAATAAGGCCAAAACTAGAACCTTGGATAGTGTGAGCATTTGAGTATTCAGTAGCAAATATTGTCATCCCTCTAAATAAAACACTTATGTACTTTATTTTTTAGCTTTAGAGAACTGTATTTTGGATCAGTAGTCATAAACATTAAATATTTATATCTATACTTCTGCAATTAAGATTTTTTAAATTGAATAGCAACAGGTAACCTTTGAAATCTGGGATTCCCATTGCTCCCACCTCTTCCTGTTATCTTATTTTCAACCAAATTTACCCATTTATTATTCCTTGCTCCCATAAATATTTAAGTTTGTGACCATCTGTTTAGACTCTTCCTTTCTCTACTTTCCTCATCACAGTGTGCCCTGAGATACTCTTCTTTGGAATATACCTAGAGCTCCTTTGAGAGGGTAATTTTTCTAAATCTTTCAGGGCTAAGGATGGTTAAGAGTGCGCCTCTACTTAGGTAGGTTAGAATCATCATCATCAAATTCCCGCACCTGACTGAACTAAAACGGGACTTTAAGTTGATGTTTCACACTTGGCACCTGCTGACCACAGTATGTGTTCCTAAGCAAGAGTGTATCTCAGAGGAGGAGACACCGTCGGCAGGCTTGGTACTGGGAGGGCTTTGCCCTCCAAACGGTGGTGGTTTCCTCCTCCACCTGCCGTGAGGGCCCCACTGCCTGCGCTCAAAGCAGCTCTTCCCCGGCTGTGTGCTGGGAGCGGACTCTTCAAGTTGCCAAGCAGGGAGAAATAAATTTATGGGGAATCAGGGGAAAGGAAACATGGACTAGGAGGAAAAAAAAGGAATGATCCGAGAAAAGTATACGAAAAAGGGGCCTGAGTTAGTCTGTAGTTGTTGCTGCAGGAAGGAAGCAAAGTGAAGGTTAGTGAAAGAAAAGAGAAATGGGCTTTATGCAGCAAGATGAAAGTGTCTAAAACACTGGATTAAAAATAGATTTAACCATTTTTTTAATTATTTGAAATAGAGTTGAAATAACAAGTCGTTGTGAAAGGTTATCAGGTACCAATTAAAATTCTCAGTAGACATACTGGAGAGTGCAGATGTGGTTAATTTGTGAGCACTATAAAAATTCAATTAACTGCATGTTTCTTATATTTAAAAATATATCTGAGAAGCTTCTGTGACACAAATTCGGGTTATAAAAATTCTGTTAATAGCACAATTAAAATTTTCCATGAATTTGGTCCAAACAATGGTGGATTCGAGAGGTCCAAATAGAATTTATACTAAAATCTATTTTATATATAAGTTAAAGTATGCTTTAGTAATGCTGAAAGAATATTGTAGAGTCCTACCTGGCACTATTTTGTATGTGTCACTAAGGCGTAGGAAGTTTTTTCCCAGTGAGGATTAGCTGCATGCATCCCAGAGAGCTGGGAAGTTAGACATCAAGAAACTGTTACGTTTTCTCCCATCCTGCCTTGTTGATGAAGGGCCACATTGAACTAACGACTATCAGGGTCTTTTCTCCTCCCATTGTTCTGTGTAGGATACAAGGGAACAGAATAAACAACAGAAGCTGGGGCAGTTGTCTCTGTCTTGGACACACTGTTGTTGAACTACTTTCTATTTCTGTACATGCAATCTGAATGTTCAAAAGATGTCAGGGGACTTTGGAAGAATATGCTGCATATAGTCACAATGATATTATCCGAGGGTGCTCTCCGTAGTGGGGAGTGGCTACCGGTTGGGTGCTGCAGGGGTGACAGGTGGAGCAAGTCACAGTAGGTGGTGGAACCAACACTTGGATCTGTGCCCAGTACCCGCCAGGCATATGCTCAGGTCACAAAACGAGTAGATAGTATGGTGAATATGGTCTTTAAAACATTAAAAAATATGAGAGCTATTTCTCTGGTATCACAAAAAGCAAACACCAATCAGCTTTGCAAATGAACCTAGGACGTTTCTACTTTATGTGGGCATGAGGTATAAAAGCCCAGGAGGTTTGCAGATGGAAGCACTTGCCTTCCTCACAACACCTCCCGTGCCCTGTTCTGTGATGCTGTCCCCAGAGCCCCTGGCCCCCAGGGAGCCAGCCAAGTTACCTCCTGCAGAGACGCTCTCCTGAAGCCCTTAGCAAACCTCGTCTATCTTGCCACTTACGTATTTAAGGAAAAAAGAAACATGCCATCCAGAACTTACAAAACACAATCCCACATTCTTGGCATCTTTAACATGTGTTTAGTTGGCTTCTAGGAGTATTGCGGATTATTTTATGTCTGTGCTTTAGGAATTAGTTATTTCAGAATCATAGAATCGGAGTGTAATTTCATCTAATTCAATCTAACTCTATCATACAAATAAGCAGTTGTGAAGAATTTATTCAGCTTTATCATGTTCTAAACTTTTCTAATATTCTCATACTTTATACATTTAAAGTGGAAATTCCATTTGATTAGAACAAATAGTACTGCATTTTCAACATTTTCTATGTGTGTATAATGTCATGTCTATTTCGTGTGAGACATGTTGCAAAGCAGGATTATTTATGATGAAAACTGAAGTTCTAGATATCTTTGTAAGTGACTATTTTGTCTTAAATTCTGGGCTATTTTATTTATAACTGACCAAGATTATCTTTTTAAGTCATGATATCAACAATAAATATACAGCCACAATGTACATATTAATAAATACACATACATTTAGATGTTTTTATATTCACTAAAATAAGAACAACTCAGTTGAAGTAAATACTTAGACTATATTTTAGCCTATAGGACATGGGAAACAAGTGATTTATTTAAATTTTCAACTTTTCAATAGTTCGTGCATTTCTTTTCATTTGTAGCAAAGGTAGTCATGATACATATCAAATGATAATGAGTCTAAGGAAATGACAAGTTTATCACTTATATTGGGGGTTTTCTTTATGTTTTACTGTTTGGAGTTCCTATAATCGTACCTTATTTTAGGTCCAGCCTAAGTCCATTTAAACATGTGTAACTTTGTGTGGCTTTTGGGAATCTTATACTTCCAATATTGATCAAACTCATACTTTGTAACATGTCTACAACTTTCAGAATTTAATGATTTACTTTTAATCATTGTATTTTTAAACCTTTTATTAGTGGGGTCTTACCTTGGCTGGTTAAAAGCGTGTCCATATTTTCAGACCACGCCACTGCCTCTGCTGTTGGTGACCTGTGGAAACAACATCTGCCCTTGACAATAGCATTGTGATCTTTTTCTTCTGTAACCTGTAGTAATATTTGAGTTACATGTACTTGTTGAATTACGTCATTTAAGTGAGCTTTGCATCATTAATTAAACTGCAAAAGGTCAACAAGAATTATATAATATTTTTCCACAGTGTACAGCAGTAGCAAAGCAAAGCGAGATGCAATTTGACATGAGCAAATTATTTATTATTCTAGCCAACATTGTGAACAATGTTTGCAAATTCCTGGGCTCTCATAAAGGCGCGCCAGAGAGATTACTCATCGTTCTATATAGTAGGGTGAATTTCTTCCCGATTCTGTTAGTTTGTGTGGCATCACTCTAGTCTATTCCTGAAAAGTCACCATGATAGCAGTAGTGATGATGAACTATTTTCAGCAGTAGTGGTGGAAGAACTATTTTCTGTGTTTCCACATTATACAGAATTGTCCATTTCATAATTATGCATCTCAAGAAAGTTTTTAAAAGTCTTGGTTAAGGATCTCTAACATGGGATGATCTTGAAAAAGCTTATTTATAGTATTTTGAGAATTCCTTCCCCCACTCTGAGACAGCCTTTATTTCTCTTTAGACTAGTATGTTTCCAGCTCTGGGTTGATTTATTTAAATCTAAGAATCTGTCAGGACAGAGTAACATCTTCTCCGAAGCGGTCGAAAGATTTATTGACTTCAGTCTTCTGAAGAAGGTATACTTTGGAGAATGTGATGTAGAAATAATAAATCAGGTTTAAGATAGAAACTTTTTGAGATGTAAATATATCATGCATTATTCCCCATAATAAACAAAGATCCTGCAGAAATCTGCCCCCATCCATGGAAAGCCTCTGCTGCCCAGAAAAAAAATCGCGGATGACGGCTCTGTGCTGTGCAGAGGACTTAGTCACGGAAAGGAATGATCTAATTGAAGGTTTCTGTTAAAATGATTGATAATGAAATAGTCTCACATCCCGTCATTCTTAGAAAATTTTATATTTGCATATCAAGGCGACTAATCTGAAATAGGCTAGTGTGAGCGATGCTGGTGTGAAGCAATTTCTATGCTTTTGTATTCTGTTACTTCCTGTACCTTTTCCGCAGTTTTTGTTACTTGTGTTGACATTGCCTGTGCTCCCTTCTGCTGTTGCAGTTGTGGTTGTATTTTCAGACAGTGAAGTCTGTTCTCTTGGAGGCTACATGGGGTACGGGGGTGGGGTATGTGATGGAGAAATTATTTTACCATCTCCCATTAGTTTTACTTCCTATCTCCTATGTCTTTTATTTCCTTCCCCAGTGGTGGGCAGATGATTTTCCCTTCTCCCTTGATCGACTAAATCTTTGGGACACAAGGTTTCCTGTAAAGCCATTTTGAAATGGTGGTTTTTCACTCAAGTGAACATTTAAAAATACATAGAGTGTTCAGTTTCGATTTTTCATAAATGGAGAACAGGACCCAATCCTAGACTTCATTTTGCATTGAAGAGCTTGTGTGTGCTATAAAACCTGTTCCTGTATTACAGTTATGTTCTACTTCATATATGACTCAAATATTAGGCCTTATCAAATATTAAAAATTCTATCAAACAGTGCAAAGATTATCATAGAATCTCTTAAAATGCACATGTTTAAAGTGCTGTCTCTATTTGTAGACTAAAGTTGGCATGGTATTCAAATTTCTACTCAGTTCATGTGGAATATATGTTAATGAATAAGGCAGAGAAGAGTTGGACTCCAAGTCTGGCCGTATAGTAAACCCCTTCTGAATGAGGAACAGCCATCAGAAAAAAAAAACCAAAAAACAAACAAGCAAAAAACAAAACCCAAAACCCTGAGAAACAGAATCTAGGCAAAATTCATTCAAGGATGAACATAGGCTCCTCCATTAGTATGTGAGTTCTCTGATGACAGGGAAAAAAACATTGTCTTCCAGCACCAAGAACAGAGTGTCTGTTTCAAGAAATATTTGTTGAACATGTAAATAAATTGTGAATGAATGGCCAGACCCCAAATAGAGGCAGGCACGAAAGCCTTCATGCAACAGGGTATTGTGGCTTTCAGGCAGCTGGGAGATGACACTGATAAGGTTATTCAAGATATAGCTGAACTGCCTTAGCTTCAAAGTGTGTTCTGGGTGAGGAAAGAGGGGAAATGGCGTGGAAACATCCCTGAGCAGCGACAGACCACGGAGCTCACTCTTGCCCCTGAGCATGTGAAATTGGAGGAAATGGACAACATCCATTCTGACGGCATAAGCCAAAAGCTGGCATAAGCCAAAAGCAAAAGGAATATTCAGTGAAGAACTTATTGGATACAGAGGAGTGTCTTTGGAATGCAAGTGTTCAAGTGAATGGAAGCTATTCTTACCATCTTCAATAAGGTAGGAAAACAGTTGGGGAAAAAAAAAACCCAGAAAGATGAGAGCAAAGTCTGAGAGATGGTGTAGAATCAAGGGCAAAAGAACAGTCCTACTGTTTTGAATTAGATATACTGAAGTATTCCAGATACTCCTTAGATACAGAATATTAGAGGTAATGGAATTAGAGATACCAGGATATGCTAGCATTATTTAAGGTCCGCCAAATGGTAACATGGTTTTAAAGGGGAAAGTCGCCCTTCAAGCCTCTGGGAGAAGTACATACCCCTGCTGGCATGTAGTAATGCCTGGAATGCCCACAGCTCACTGTTTTCTAATAGATTTCAAATCTGACTCGAAAGCTTCAATCTTGACTATCTGATATGATGGAAGGATTGGTGGTAACACAGTACATAACTTTTCAGAGATTAGGTGAAATGCAACTATTAAGAAACAATGTGAATTTAATGTTTAAATGTTTTCATTTGGGGTTGATTTGTATAATTCTGTGGAAGAGTAACTTACTGCTATATATGAATAAACTGAAAGCTAATTTTTATAATAGCATTAAAATGCACAACAATGTATTGAATGTTTACAATCTATACCACACTGTGCTAAACATGTCATATACTTACCTCACTGAATCCTGAAAATGACAGTCGTTTTAATCCCACGTTACCCAGGGGTAAGGAGGCACAGACATGCTAGTAACTGGTTAATATCACACACGTATTAATGGGCAGTTAGAATTCAAACACAGGTTTGTCTGCTTGTAAACCAGATTCCTCAATTCTTCCTAGAACGGTTGAGTCAACATACATACGCTTACACTTTGTTCATGTTTTGGAACATCTATAAAAAATGTTTTACATAACTTTTAGAGTGCTTTTTGTGTAATAGGATTACTACACTTCACACAAATATTTCCTCTAAATAACAGTTAACTTTCTGCTGAGTAGAAATTACTACAATTTTTCAGAAGACAGCGATTCTTAGATTTTGTACATTATCAAATGAAAATAGGACATGGTATTAGATGTGACTGAGAAATATGTTGTACGTTTTTCTAAATGCAACTGTATGAATGTTAAGAAAAATCTATAGAATTAAAGTTGGGAGATAAAAGGGTAGCTTGATTGAAAAACAAACTGATTTGAATTTTACTTGACACATGTTACCTTAAATAAATGGAAACTATGTCACTCCCTCCCTCATTTCTCTCTCTCTTTCTCTCTTTTTCCCTTTTATTCAGATTTTAGTTGTAACTTTACAGAGCTCTTCCCCTTTGTGCGAGCGCGTTTATTTCCGGTTCAAGTTGTGATGCACCATCAGAGTTACTTTTTTTGTGCTTTTGATTTGTCGTGAAAATTCACGATGTATCTCGAGCCAAAATCGCACTTAGTACTGAATGGGGTTTTGGCTGACTTCTTTCCTGTTTCCCTCATTAAACGAGTGCCATCAAGACCAGCAGTCCCCACATTCTGTGTCCGAAGAACCAGGCCAGATGGGAACTGCGTGAAAGCTACCAGTTATCTTGCTAATTGCGCCAGCTAGGACCAGTTGTACTGCATGAGAAAATGCGGGCTCCCACAAATGAGCTCGCCACACTCAATTAGCGGCGAGCCGGAGAACGGGGGATGCGCGCGAGGAGCCCGCGCGCTCGGGGAAGTGACAACTGCTGCCTTACCCGGCACTTAATACCTGTTTTCACATTTCTCAGTCAATGTTGCAACAAAGAATACTTTTTGCAAGGATCGTATATATCATATGCCTTTAACTCGAATTTTAATACTTTGGAAAATCTTCAGATAAAGAGAGCTCAGAGGTTTTTTTCCACTTTGTCACCTTCCTGGATCTTAGCAAGCAGAAAGAACTGACTGTAAGAGCAAGCCATGCATCATTGACATATTTCAGAAAAGACGAAGAGTGCAATGGAGAAAGGAGAAAAAAATAAATCAGGGGGAAAGACAATTAGCATATTTATCATAAATGAAGGAAACAAAACATGGAGACTAATGAAGACTCAAGTGTTTCACTTGTACATCTTCTGAGATAAAAATAGCTTTAAACAACAACTCACTTCACTGGCATTTTTCGTTCCACTGTCTGACTGTCACGGATGACGCCGCGTTTCTCTTTCTGACTGATCTTCAGGCTGAAGGGAATGTAACAGCAGCAACATTACAATTAGTATGCAAATAACTATCCCCTGGGTTACAAATTGGCATTCTTTAATCATGCTATTCTTGGCTTGTTTCATTTTGTTAACTTTTCAGTGGTCAGATCACTTAAACTTCTAAGTAACAAATAACTCTTGAGTAAGTGCGACATTTCCTTGTGTCTGTGGCATAACTGAAAAGAATTCCATTTGAAAGTTTGGTTTCTAAAGTTCATATGTATCTGCTTACAGGGTAACTATTGTTCTCATGGGGTAAATCAACTCAGGAAAAAACATTAGATGAAATTCAGTATTCACCTTTAGGTCTTTACTCTGTCTCAGAGATCATTGTTTTCCCTTTGTTCTTTGATTTTTGGGAAGTCTAAGGAAGACTTTTTCATACTCAGTTTTACTGCATATGTTTAAGGATTTTTACGGTTTTATTCTTGGACTGAAATATTCTAGCACAAGGCATCATACTTCTTTTAAAAAAACGTGTGCATTTATTGCAGCTTAATAACACGCATTTCTCTATTTAACTATGCAGCCCAAGGCATTTTGTGCCAATATTTCTTTATGCAATGCTGATGTTTGAGAAAATAATACTTGAATATATTTATCACCATAAAGGCCTTATATTGGTATTTTTATTTGTAGTCAAAAGTTTTGTGCATGTACCACCCACGCTTCATCAAGCTCTCATGTCAACGCAACGGAGTTCTTCAGCAGTAAAATCCTACTGGTATATATTCATGACCCGTGGTGTCAATTAAACCCTCCTGAAAGATTGACAATTTTCTGGGTGGAAGAAAGAAAGGAGTTGGAAGACAGCAGAAAATCTGCTTCTCCCTGAGTTAGCATTGAAACAACCCCATTTCGCTGATCTACAGAAATGCCAGAGGATGCTTCCTCTGCAAGTGGTCCTGGGCTAATGGGACTCTTAGAAATTGAAGAGATGACCTAAAAAGTCAGTGTATCGTTAGAAAGGGAAGCTGTCAGTTAGACCAGTTCATTTGGTTAATTCAAGCACCATTAAGTCATGTGCTTATGATATGCAAAAATGGAGTCATTAAACATGTTTCGCCTTGTTTTGCTGAAGGAGGATAATGTAGTGCTCACTTTATGATAGATGCTTGAACATGGTGCATTTTAGAAAAATAAACTGTCCAATTTTAAAGACCCTCATTGTAAAAAACCATGTTAAGTCAGTTAAAAAAATATTAGCCAGGCATAGACTTATTTTACATTAAAAGTTTAAAACAAAAATTGATAATTCTATGTTGAGTTCAGTGCAGATGCTAATACACTCTTTCTCTTACCTCCTTGGACACACACAGTTGTTATTTGTTTAATGTGTGCTTCCTGTTCCTTCCAAGCTTCTTTTAATTGTTCAGGAAGAATAGAATTGAATTTTATTTACCAGATTGGAAGTTCATAATAAACAAGCAGGTGAGTAAATAAACTGTCTTCAGAGACTGCGTGGTTCTTCGTTGCATTCAGTACATCCTGAGGAAGGATGGCCGTATGCAAGTATTGTTGGGCCATCTCATTATCACCAGCTCTTAGTTTCAGGGCATGCAGGCTCCATTATCAGAGCAAATGCCTGGTGGGGGCTGAATGATGCCCCCAAAGGTGACCGGGTCCTAATGTCCAGAACCTGTGAATGTATCACCCTACACACAAAGGGATGTTGGTGTTCTAGATTAGTCAGATGGGCCCAGTGTAAGAGGGGACAGGGGTGTTAAAGCACATAGTAAAATACGTGAGCACAAAAGAAAGATATTGGAGTGACCTGAGGAAGGGGAAAGAGCCAAGAGATTCAGGAAGCTTCTGGAGGCTGAAAAGGGCAGAAAAACAGATTTTCCTCTCAGAGCCTCCAGAAGCAACCAGCCCTGCCGACACTTTGATTTTAGTCCAGTAAAACTCATTTTGGACTTCTGACCTCCTGGACTCTAAGATAACAAATTTGTATTGTTCTAAACCACTAAATAGGTGGTAGCAATGGGCAGCTAATTAATCCAAGGAACCTGAGTCTTTAAAACATGACTGAAAAGAAGATAGGAGTGGAATAAAATAGGCAGAGCAGTGAGTTTGTATAGAAGGGTGGATGCTTCCTGCTGAACAGTAATCTTGACCTCTCTGAGCCTCTTTACTGCTGAAATGGAGACAGTATTTTTTTCGCAGGTTATTGTGTGAAACTAAATGGAAATATACCAAGACAAAGCATCTTACGTAGTGCTACTTGTACGTGTTTGTTTCATATCCTTTCCCCTTATTTGACATTCAGAAAACCATAGTTAACATGTAGCATGGGACTCTTACAGACAACACTACTGTCAATCAATGGCGGTGTCTGTGTAAGGATACAAATTTTTGATAGTTTACTTTGTGTAATAAATTACAGGTGTACAATATGATGGACATGATAGGAATATAAAATTTTAATCAGGCAGTATGAAATTGATGATTTTGGAAAATGATGAGGCTGTATTGTGGAATGATTTAAAAATGAGGAAGAAGGCCGGTGGGAGAGTTAGAAGTAGAGTATAGTGGTCCACGTATGAGATGACAATGGTTTGGACAAGGGCGATCAGAGAGGGATGGAAAAGTGAGCACTGGTCGTGTGGTGCCTGGGTAGAAGGGGTGGGATAGAGAGGGTCAAAGGACCAGATTTCAAACCTGATAGCCCAAAAGAATGGTGTTCCCAATGGTAATCATGGCAATAAAATAAGAAAAGCACGTTTGGGGAAGTCACTAGGTAAAAGAAAGCTTAGAGATAATGCAGAATGTTGACATGGGTTGATGAACTTTACAGTCAAAGGTCACAGCGTTTTGACAACATGCCCCAAGAAAATGCAGAGCTTCTGTGTCTATCCGAAGCCTCTCTGTTAACCTAGGAAAACTATTGCTGTCTACACCTCACTACTCAAGGTAGGAGAAAAATAATTAAATAATTTAACACTGGGTACTTGCATAATTTAACCTTAGTGAAAGCATAACATTTTATTTTGGTGCAAGTTCTAGAAAATGTTTACATTAAAAAATACGCTAAATTGATTTTTGTGACATCCAAGTGAGGATGTCATGAAGGATCTGGGAAAAAGAACAATATTTAAAAATAATTCAACATTTAAAATGTATCGGAAGCTTCCTAACTGTGATTTCTCTAGTCATTACGCCATGAGATAAACAATATTTTTGTCGTCACTTTACATATGAGAAAACCAAGACTCAGAGAAGTTAAATAACGTGGTCACAGTTACATAGCTAGAAGGTGATGGGTGGAGTGAGGCTGAGAAGCGGGACATAATATTTGAGTAGTGGTGGCAGTTAAACCTGTAAAATTTACTTTAATAAGAGAAATAGCACAGAAAAAGAGAGCAGAGAACCAAGAGCTTAACTATTTATTTATTCATTCATTCATTTATTCATTGTTTAAACAATTTAGTAATTCTGAATGTAGAGAAACACTTACCTAAACTAGGGAAGAAGACATAGCACAGTAAGTCAGAGAAAGACTAAGGATGTAGACTGGTATGGAGTTTCCTTCAAGAACACTGTTCATGGGATTTTGGAGGGGAAAGGGTGAACAAGAACGTCAGGTGACTAAGTGAGGTTAAGACTGAGGAGAAATAAAATACTGGAATTGGCTGAGGTGGTCACGAGAAGAGCAAATAGAAGCATGAAGAGTGAGATCAGGTGAGAGAAGCAGCTTACAAAAAAGTTGGCTTACTAGTTTATACTATGTTCCTGTTCAAATTATAAGGGGAAAGGAAGGATGATGATTTTTGTATTATTTTTACAATTGTCTTTCTGGCTTTAAATAATAGGCTTATAAATGCAGTTTATTTGGGAACTGAATAATTGAGCATTGAGAGATAATTGAGTTTCTTTTTGTAAACGAGAGAGGAGAAAATTGTATATTTCAGCTCTGCTTTGCCCCATGTTGCTGCTGTATGAGGCGCAGTTTATAAAGCAATGAGCCTGAGTCTTGCATGCTTCATCCGTCATTCCTGAGAGCATTCTAAAGGAGAAGTTTGCAACATATTGAGCACTGTTATCACCACTGAGATATGTCTGATCTCCCATAGTAGCTGCTTAGAAATAGCATGCTCATTTGGGTGTCCAAGTCAGTGATGGCTGACAAATCAGCCACATTACTTGCTCGTCACATCTCATGATTGTAGGTCCTACATGTACTTTTTTTGTTGTTATCTCAGAATACCAAGTCACCGATAGAGTCAAACATCTGCCTCCATGAAGTGAAGTCTTTAGTTTACCAAGCTTCTGATCCAAGCAGAAATGTCTCTCACATTTTAAAGTTTAAATACCATTTCACGTTTTAATGATTCATATACCTAAGTTAATTAATTAGGATTAAACTTGACTAGATGATAGAAATGAATAAAGCTACATGTATTACCCAAATCAAAACATCAGCTTTTTTTTCCTTTGGTAAAGAATGTTTACCACTACATTATAATTGCACAGTCTTTATAATATTTGTTATTAATCGGCTCCTTGTGCTTTTTCTTTACTCTGGCTGTGTATTTTTTAACAATGTAGAGAAAAATAACCATGTTTCAGATTTCTGTGTTGCCATCTTGTACACGCAGCCTCTCTCTGACTTTTCCCCTGAGCTGAACTTCCCTTTCCTTACTGCCTGAGATTTCAGTAATCAATGCAAACATACGTAAGGCAGGGTAGCAGTCATGGGAGATGTTAATAAAGCTAAGTACTGTAACTTTTAAAAGAATATTTCAACTGAAATCTGTGTACATCTTTTGGCTGAAAATATTTTGGTCACTTTTTATGACCCAGCAGAATATTTAAGACATTTTAGTAGGGAGTACCAGTCTGAGTAACAGAATTTTGATGTGATGAGAAGAATGATTCTCTGTACATTTTAATTTTCAAATACACAATAGAAAGAAGATGCTAAAGTGCTCCTTATATTTGATGGCATTAATCCCCAAAAAGAAAGGGTGAAACACAAA